TTTTTTTTTTTTTTTTTTTTTTTTTTTTTTTTAGGAATGTGTTAATGGGGTGTTGCAGTGTGTTTTGCCCTTTATTAATGAGCTTAGCTCAGTAGAGGCAATGCTGCTAACTAAATTTAGCACTTTTCCTGTATAAACAAGGTGATACTGTTCATTCACTTGGTTAACTTGTAAAGAATTGCAGATTTATGCTAGTAAATGCAAATGAGGAGGGTTACTTTGGAGGACTTTCTATCAGGGAGAAGTCGAACAGAAAATATATAGAATGTAAAAATCAGGACTGGCATCTTTTCCCTTCTTCATGTTTCCTTCTAGCCTCTCTTTGTTCCCCCTGAAATGACAAACAGGACCTGAAATCTGTCTTCTGGCTAAGTTTTCCATTACGTTTGTACAACAAATGTGTCCTTCCAACTGATATTGTCAAGGACGTGGGAGCCCAGAGGCTAAGATTTAAATACTTTAAGTGATTCAGAGGGTGCAAATCTTCACTTAATGCAGGCCAGTTCTTACAACGTCACCATTTCTTTCCCCTGGCTGCAATGTGTGCCCTCTGCAACTTCATTCTTGGGGACCCTCAATCCCTGCTCTAAAATTGAAAGTTTCTGCTAGGAAAATGACATATGTGTTGGGCCACAACAGCTTTCAGCTCTGCCTTAGCCTCTGGAGCCAGTCCTTCCTGCTTCCTTCTGCCCAAGGCAGTGTTTGCACCAAATGAATGAGGTTCACAGGCTTAGAATATGCCAGCTGAGAACATTGTAGAAGTGTGTCTGTGCTGAAAGACCTGCAAATTGCAAGTGCCAGGTAGTGTGAGTCTAAGGACACATTCTTTCTGAGTGCCTATGCTTCCAGCTACAATTACCAGTGATGAATTCAGTTTACAGACAGTGTTGTCAGCCTGCCATCTCTCACATGCTTGGTAAAAACAGAGCACCCTATGGGAGCCATCGATGCAGGGGAGGGCAACTGGAAGGAAGAGTAGCTCAAACGTACTAAGTTATGACTCCTGCTGAGACTGAACTGTTATGTGGAAGCAGTAAAAGAGCTATAAACTATAGTGGATGAGGTGAAAGTCCAGCTATATTCAGCTTTTTGACTGGTGCTGATCTAACATCCCCTCCAGGAAAATGGCCAGAAAGAAGATTCTATCATCCAGAATGACCTCAGTGAATCATTTGAAGAAGAAGTTAGAGCGTTCCTCAGCGATGAAGAGAAACTGCATCTTTTTGATGACCTCACAAAAGTTAATCCAGTGACAACTACCACAGGTAAGCAGCCAGCCAGGGGAGGTTCTCTTGAGGAGTCACTTTCCCTGGTGGCTAATATACAGTAGTTACTGTTCTCATCGCCTTAATACTGTCATGAGCACAGTGGTTAAAAATTCAAAGCCTATTATTCAGAGCCTTAGAAAGTCACATTTGTTTTGGCTGATTTTTTTTTTTTCCAAAATACTTCTGCTGTAGATTCCACCATGCTGGTCCCTTATCACGCTCTGCACACAGAGCTCACATCTGGCTCAGGTAACCAGGGCGTGGCTGAGAGTTAATGCTGTTGAAGGACTCTTGTGTGACCTTGTGATTGCGGTTTGGTGTTATATGAACGTATCAGAAAACGAGGCTCTAACTTAAATATCCATGAAATTCGTTTTAGAAAGTAAATTCCTCACTGCACTTTTGAAGATGATCCTGTTAAGAGAAGCAAGCTAAGGCCCATTCCCAGTGCAGATGGGGAATTCTTGCATCTCTTTGTTCTGCAAGTCAACAGATTTGCTTTCTAGGACTGTGTGAAACCTTATAAAAGCACATTTAAGGATGTATTGAAAGGAATAGTTAGCAGATCCCTCCCTTAATATTTTTAAAAATAAGGGCAACTCTTCAAGTCATTGTTATGTATATTAGACCTATATCACTCTCTTGATCACCTCATTCTCTATTAAACCTAATAGGTAACATATCTGAAGATTTTTATTGCAAACAGAAACAAGAAGAGTCAAATACACTTTCCAAAAGATGCTAACAGAAGGTGTGTCTTTCAGTTCTGAAATGTCTTCAAGCAAGATACACAGTAAACTTGTTTTATACAAATGCTGGCTGCAGCCTGGTGGCTTTAAATCCCTTTCAGCCCATCTCCTGCCTCTACTCACCTGAGCTTATGAGAGAGTACCATGTTGCACTTCGGCCTCAGGTAATCCTTATATTTGAAATAACCGTCCTTCCGCAGAACCCAGATGTCAAATTCTTCACAATCTTTATCAGCAAAATAATCCTAAAGGATAACACCCATTTCTAGTCAAATCTGAGTTCTGGTAACAGAGCAGTGCTGTTTTCAGATAAATGTGAGAAGATCTTTGCTGTCTATTGCTGTTAAACTGTGTAATTACTGTTCTCTTAAATATGAATATTCTCTTTTACTGCCAGGATTTAAAACCTCACATCTTTGCAGTGGCTGAGCAAACCTACAGAAACGTCCAAAGCCAGCTAGACCCTGTAAACCAGTCTATAATTGTGAGTGGAGAAAGTGGTGCTGGGAAGGTAAGGAGACTTTTTTTATGACATTGCTCTTAAGGTTTGAGAATTGCTAGCGATTTGCAGTGCATAGTATTTCAGCGAACAAGCAAAGACGAAGAAAAAAAAAATTCTGACAGAGCACGTAGCCAGTCTGCTCTAGCATGACTCTTCAAATATGCGTAAAGCATTAAGTGATTGCTGCAGTTAAATAGACTCTACTCAATAGAGCTGCTCTTTCAGTGACATCTGTAATTTCTGGGAGGGCTAGAATGGACTTATTCCACAGGAACTGCACCTGAGTTAATGTCTGAGCCCCGGCTGTTAGGAGCTAGTGTGGGCAAACCCTCCGTACAGAGCTGGAAGCAGCGGAGAGTTCAGATCCTATCCTGGGCTCTTCTGTAGTGGGCCATCCCTATTCAGGAAGATATCGAGGATATTTTTAAGCCTAAGAACAAATTGATTTGCTGAGTGTTAATGACTCTAAGTCCATTTATATTCAGTTCATCTTAAGATACGAGCCGTTAATTCTAGCTGAGTTTCCAGATGGTTGCATCTTGATAAAACTGCCATTCAGCAAAGCACTCCGACTCCAACAGCATTTAAATGTGTGTCTGTTGCACGCAAGCATATGCACAAAAAGTTTCCACTGAACTAGAGCTACAAACCTGACACAATTACTCCCTTTAGCATCACCGCCAGCTGCATGCTGTGTTTTCAGAAGCTAGTGCTGTTTCACTAACAGACATAACTAATAACGTGGTGAAAACAAAGGCCTATTGTCAAGCCTTTCTCTTGCAGACCTGGACATCTCGCTGCCTTATGAAATTCTATGCTTCTGTTGCTGCTTCAGTTATCTCCCCAAGAGGCAATGAAACTGTGGAAAGGATAGAGAAGAGAGTGTTGGATTCCAACCCTGTCATGGAAGCATTTGGTAAATGAGGCTTTTTTTAACAGCAAGAAGTAGTGGCCACTGTGGGGAATTTTCTTTGTTAATACACAGGTCTAAGCTAGCTCTCGGTCCTCCTTAAAAGACAAACTCTTCAAATACTGGAGCTATACACAAATGGCCCTTAATATCTATATGTCCTACACGGAGGAGTGGAACCACTCTGATTATGCTGTATCTGTCACTGGCAATTTCACAGGAAATGCATGTACCCTGCGGAATAACAACAGTAGCCGTTTTGGAAAATATATCCAGCTTCGGTTAGACAGGTAATAATTACTGTGTAAAAACCTTATCTATTGTCTTGTTCCTTTAAATCTCTACAAGCCTGATTCTGAAGTCTGCCATAGAATATTTTATCTGCCTTTAGAACATATTTTGGTTTGCTAGAGGTTTATATCTTGCTTTTTTTTTTTTTTTCCTGCAAGCTCTCACGCTGATTTCTAAAAGAGAGCAATGCAAAAACGGAGATGCAATTAAGAACTCTGAATAAAATATTACATTAAGCTTGCACAAAACTGAAGGTGAACTGCAAAGCATTCATAGTCAGTTGGTATCGTGACAATGCAACATCTATTGGATTCTGTGAGGAACTTTTGTTGAAGCCTTTGCTTTTTTTTTCCCCCCTCTAGATTCCACCATCTGAGTAGTGCTTCCATTCAGACTTTCCTGTTGGAGAAGACCAGAGTTGCCTATCAGGCCCCCAATGAAAGAAACTTCCATATTTTTTATCAGGTTTGCCTTCTGTTAATTTTGCTAGATGTTTCTGACAAACAGTGGGGATGAAATCACCAGATTTAGCACAGTTGCAGCTTTTAATATTTAACAGTTTCCCTGTCTGCCATGCTTCCAAAATAAATCAGGCTCCCAGTACGTTATCCTTCATTGTCTGTGAGCTGTAAATACCAAAGGCAGAATTCAGTTGTTACCTTGTTTTCTGTCTCCAGATCACAAAAGGTGCTACTGCAGAGGAGAGGCTGGAATGGAACCTTCCAGAAGGGGCTGACTACCGCTGGCTGCCAAATTCTGAAAGAAACTTAGATGGTAAAGATTAGTTGCACAGACTGTCCACTAATAATGGCTGTGACTTTAAAGGGAGGCAGGCAAAAAGCGTGTCTGTCCTATTAAATCCCCCGACCCAGGTTGGTCAGCCGACAGCAGAGAGTTTGCAAAGCCACCTGCATTAATGCGATTCTTTTTAAGTTTCAGTTTGCACTATTAAGAGTTTTCACCTGACCTAAAGCCTGGTGAATTTGCATCTCTCTGTGGCTATGTTTAGAAACTGTCTTGTCTTTGGATGTGCTTCAGCAACCCGCTGCCTAACTTCAGAGCCCCGCAGAGTCAGT